GGATGGGATGGGATGTAGGTGCAGATGGGGGTAGAGATAGGGATGGAATGGGAATGGGATGGAGACAGGAGTGGGGATGGGAACAAGTAGGATGGAGATGGAGATGGGATGAGAACAGGAGTGGGATGGGATAGAGATAGGGATGGGGACAGGAAGGGGGGTAGGATGGAGTTGGGAATGGGAAAGGGATGGGGACTGGAATAGGGATGGGAATGGGAAAGGGATGGGGACTGGAATAGGGATGGGAATGGGAGGGGAATGGGGATGGGGATAGAGATGGGAATGGGATGGGGATGGAGAGGGGAATGGGATTAGGATGGAGACAGGAATGGGGGCAGGATGGGGAGGGACACAGGGATGGGGACAGGGTGCCCCCACAGCTGGGAGTGAATACAGGGTGCAGAATCCCCCTTATACTTCCCCCCTTGTCTCCCTGTACCTCGTGAGCCTCCCCAGCCCCACAGCCCAGCACAACCGGGAATCCTTTTACATTTTAAATATAATAAATAGAGGAACCCAATGAGATGGTTTGGGATGGGGGAGGACACAGACATGGGGGGGCCCATGGACCCAGGCATCCGGATGCCTCAAAGGGTCCATGTCCCCCCCCCAGTGAAGGGGAGCGTTGTCACCAGGTTGTCCTTGAGGGGGGTTCACCCCTGGGTCTGGGTGGTGAAGGGGGGCTGAGGTCTGGGGTCGTGGCCACATTCGGGGCACGGCCCCAGTGGCAGCGGGTACAGGAAGGGCTTCGCTGTCACCTAAGGGTGAGAGGGGTCAGTGCGGGGGGGAACATGTGGCACCCCCATGGCTCCTGGGGGCCCCAAGAGAAGAAGGGTGTCCTCCTTGAGGGGCAAGGCAGGGTGTGTGGGAGTAAGGGGGGAGCCGTGGTATGGGGAAGGGGTTGGGGATCTCACCCATGCCCTGCTGAGTCCCATAGGCCACCCACCACCCCATATCCCACCACCCCCACCTCATATCCACCATCCATCACCCCAATGTCCAATCGCCCACCACCCCATATCCCCAGCACCCACCACCCCATAACCTCAACAGCCACCACCCCATATGCCAGACCCATCACCCCATATCCCAACACCCACCTCCCCATAACCTCAACAGCCACCACCCCATATCCCAGCACCCACCACCCCATATCCCAGCACCCACCACCCTATAGCCCACCCTGACCCCCCCTCCAGGCTCAGCCCAGCACCCTAACCCACCTCGCTGTAGGGTGGGGGCTCCAGCCCCACTGGGATGGCCCCACTGGGCAGACTGGGGAGCGTAGGCATCGGTGCCAGCGGGGGGGGCACAGGGCCACGGGAGTCTCCATCAGATGGGAGGGACATGGGGCCCTGAGGCATCCTGTAGGCTGGGGGGGGCACAGGGTCTTGGCAGAACTTGTAGCAGAGGCGGAAGGTGAGGATGAGGAAGGCGATGGCTACGATGGTGATGGCGATGATGAAGAATATAGTCCTGGGGACACCAGGAGGTGTGTGCTGGGGGCTGGCACATACCCCCTCCTTGGCACTCAGGGGTGTCTGCCCACCCCAGCCCTGTCCCCACACCCACGGGGCTCAGGGGGTCTCTCCATCTCCTCATCCCACAGCCCCCATCCCCACAGGCTCCTTCCAGGCATACCCGTGACTTCCGTGCCCCCTGACCCCCTGCCAACGAACCAGGTGTCCCCCGGCCCCCTGCCAACGAACCAGGTGTCCCCCGGCCCATCCATGTCACTTCCGTGCCAGAGCCGCCCTCTGGACCCGGGCACACCCTACTCCCTGTGCCCAGCACCCCACACCCGGTGCCCTTTGCACCCTCCCTGCCCCACTGTGGACCTTGTCCTGGGTGGGGGCTCAGGGGGCACCCCCATGGTGGGGCAGTTTGGGGTAAGCTGGGCTTTTTTAGGGGTGGGACCATGCCAAGGGGTGCTGGCACCCTGCTGAGGAGAGGAGCCTCCAAACTGGGGAGGGCATGAGGGGGTGCCCAGGGTGACAGAGACTGCTCAGGGTGACAGGGTGTTCTTGGGGTGGCAGATGGGGTGCCCGGGGTGACAGGTGGGGTGCCAGGGTAAGGTGGCTGGGGTGACACAGGGGGTACTCAGGGTGGTAGATGGGGTGCCAGGGTGACAGTGGATGCCCAGAACGGTGCTCAGGGGGGTAGATGGGGTGCCAGGGTGACAGTGGATGCCCAGAACGGTGCTCAGGGTGGTAGATGGGGTGCCAGGGTGACAGTGGATGCCCAGAACGGTGCTCAGGGTGGTAGATGGGGTGCCAGGGTGACAGTGAATGCCCAGAATGGTGCTCAGGGTGATGGCACAACAGGTGCTCAAGGTGACAAAGAGGTTTCCCAGGGTGACACAGAGGATGCTCAGGGTGACAAAAGGAGTGCTTGAGGTGATAGAGGGGATCCCCGGGTTGGCACAGGGGGGCCCTGCACATCCTGGGGTTGTGCCCTACTGCCAAGGCCAAGGTGAGCATGAGGAGGAGGCAACAAGGCTGAAGGCACAAGATCCCCCTGCAAGTGTGAAGAGCCGTCGAGCTGCCAGCTCAGCACCATAAGCTCCCAAATCCAATCAGCTCCCTGAACCCCATGCTGGGCTGAGCCGGGTGACACAGGGGGTGCCCCACACTCTGCCCCCGGCACCGTGGTGACATCGGTGAGCAGGTAAGTGGCCCAAGGTCAGATGGGGAGGTGGTGGAAGAGGGAATGTGAGTGGGGGGACAAGGGGACAGTTTGGAAGGGAGGGTTAGAGAAACGGAGGGTCGGGGGGGGGAACGAGCCGTGGGGTGCCCTAAGCAGGATCATCCCCCTAAGGAGTTTAGGGCTGCCTGAGGCACGAGGGCTTTACCACAGGGGTCACAGGCAGCTCCAGCCCCATAATTAGCTCAAGGATTTAACGAAGGATTTGCCACCACGTGTCTTCCCATGCCCTGGTGGGGACCCCCCAAAATCAGCCTCTTACTCAGGCAGAGCCCCCCAGCCAGGCGAGACACCTCATCCTGACTACACTGAGTTTGTCAGTCTCTGCTGCTGGACACAGGGCTCCTTCACCCCCTCGGGGCCGGGTGTTGTCCCCTGAGCCCAGCCCGGGGTACTGGGTGGGTGCCCCCCCAGGGCATGAGGGGAATGGTGCCCGGGTCTTCTTTTGGGCTCCTAATTACACACCAGCCGCAGAAAGGGTGGAATTAAATCCCGGCTGGAGGCAGAAACATCCGTGTTACCAGGTGGGTGCCGGCGGCCAAACCGGGCGGACACGCGGGCACCAGCACAGGGGGTGCACACACATGTACACACATGTGCACACATGTACACATACGCACACACACACACATGCATCCCTTGGCACACAGAGCCCCGTGGAAGTCTCCCTGTGCCTGCAGGGCACCGCGGTGCCAACCCTGTGCCTGCTGCCAGGGCTGCCACGGTGCCACCAGCTCTGGCGCAGGGACAAGCGCCATCCCCAGCCGTGTCCCCAAGTGACCCTGTCTCGCCCGCTGCCCGTTTCCCAGGCCAGAGTGGTGTCACGGGAGGGGACACATGGGACAGCCTGGCACCGGTGCCACCCTGGCACAACCACGCCAGGGTGGGTCACGCCCCCGTCGCTTCCAAACTCTTGTCGTGGCAGGAGGCAGGGAGGACCCCGGGCCCCCCCCGCGCTCCCCCTGCTCGCTTTGGGCTGCCTTGGCGGCGCTCGCAGACACGCGGTTGCGTAAGGGGCTGTGACAGGCCCCCCCAAAAAACGTGAGAACCAACTGCGGCGGTAGCGGGAGCCCCATGGTGGGGCAGAGACGGGGCCCCGGGGCATTCTCGACGTGCCTCAGTTTCTCTGGGAGGACGGGGGGCCGAGATGCCCCATGCGGATGGATGTGCCCACCCGTGTGTCCCTGTACCCTCCTCGGGGCTGCTCAGGTCATCGAGGGTGCACACATGCGCTATGCTCACTGCCCTGTGCACACATGCGTGTGCAAGCCTGTAACAAACATGGACAAACGCGTACGAGTGTGCACAAGTGAGCACAGTCACACGCATGACCGAGGTCCCCGAACGGACC